ACAAAAAAAAAATTAGCCGGGCGTGGTGGCAAGCACCTGTAATCCCAGCTACTTGGGAGGCTGAGGCAGGAGAATCATTTGAACCCGGAGGTGGAGGTTGCAGTAAGCCGAGATTGCGCCACTGCACTCTAGCCTGGAAACAGAGCAAGATTCGGTCTAAAAAAAAAAAAAAAAAAACCTATATATATATGTGTGTGTGTGTGTGTGTGTGTGTATATATATATATATGTCCTGCACCTCAGAAACTCCCTCTCAGTCAATACCCACCCAAAAAGGTAAACCCTATTCTGACTCCTAGCCCCAATTATGCCTGTACTTGAACTTCACATAAACAGAGCCAAACAGTATGCTCTTTTGTACTGGGCTTCTGTGTTCAACTTTATTATGTGTGAGATCCATTCATGTTGTGTGCATCCATAGTGCATTCTTTTTAATAGCTTGGTATTCCATTTTATGACTATACTATAATGTATCCAATCTACTGCTGATGACATTTAGGTTGTTACAGTCTGGAGACAATATGAAAAATGCTGCCATGAACAGGTTTGGGGTACGTCTTTTGGTGGTAATCCTGACTCATCTACAGTTTAACAGTTTTTGCTTGTTTTGGTAAGGGCTGGTTAATAATACCTTAGATTGGGAGGATGCAGGGAACTAGAAAGTGGGCACTGCAGGCGAGAGTATAAATCAGCATAACATTTCTGGAGGACAGTTTGGCAACAGGCACAAGAAGCCTATAAGCATCTATACCCTTTGACCAATATTACTAATTCAAGGAAATTTCTTATTTAGAAATCGTACATGGCAGGTCTTCTTCTGTTTTATATGTATTAACTTGTTTTATTTATTCTAAGGAAATAATTAAATGACCACAATAATTTGTTTAGGATGTCAATCTTATCATCATTAGTAAACACAAGAAAAAGTAGTAAACAAAGTAAATAACAGGGGAATTATTTTCAAATATATTGTACTTCTGTGAAATCAAACACAATGTAGCCACTAAAAAAGTTTTCAAAGAACATTAAAGATACAGGAAAAAGTATACTTTAACAAAAAAAGGTAACATGGAATGCACAGAAATAATTCAAATTTCATTTTTTAAAAAGAATATACATATACACATACCACGTTATTAATAAAATAGTGGTAATCACTGGAAGACATGCGTACTTTCGTATTCTTTATAGTTTTCTGTACTTTCCAATTTTTCTATAATATATTGCTTTTATCAACTCAAAAAATGTGATTAAAGACTAATAAACAACGCTGTTTACATTCTAACAGGAAGAAAACAGAAACTCTAATACAATTCAATTAGGGCAGTGAGACAGTTTTGCATATGACGATATAAAAGTATTACAGAAAGACATCCAGCCTGGAGATAACGGAGCGGGGCCTTGTCAGGAAAGATGTTCCCGGTGGTACTTCCACCAAGAACTCAGGGAGAAAGAACTGTATCTCTAGGTTAGACAGAACATTCCCAGCTAAATCCTGTTAATTCTTCAACTCACTGCACCTAGAGTTCAATTACACATTGTACCCTGCCTGGCAAGTGTTCTTTTCTCACTTGCAAAAAGGCTTAGGCAGATGGACAGATGGGAATTGGTATGCAGCTAAAGTTTGACAGCATCAGACCTGGAAGATGCTGGTTCCATCCACCCTGCAGCCTGACAGAATAGCATCAAGGACAGGCCTTCCTTCCCTGTCACAAGAAATTAGGGCAACAACTTTTCAGATTTCCTTATGTCAGAAATGCCAGGCAGAGTAAACTAAAATTTATATATATCAAAATTCACTGATTCCTCAAGTTTAAAAAGTCCTTCTACTTGAAGAAATAAAGTTAACAAGAAATTACCCAGGCAATGGCAATTCTCTGTATCCAACCTCCCACTCTTCCTTGCTCCTCTACAGATGGACCACCTCTGGTTCAATGAAATCTAAGCATGGTAAAGATACATCTTAGTCCTTTAGGGGTCAATTCTCACGGAAGCAAATGATATTTGTTTAATAATTAATATAAAGGAACATTTTGCTGTGTTCCAAAAAATAATCACTCATTTCATGGTACAGTAAACATCAGAGTAAATACCACGGGAAAAACATTCAGAGTCCAAATTACCAATACTTAAGAATTAAACTTAGTAGGCCTGGCATGGTGGCTCACACCTGATATCCCAGCACTTTGGGAGGCCGAGGGGGGCGGATCACCTGAGGTCAAGAGTTCAAAACCAGCCTGGCCAACATGGTGAAATCCTGTCCCTACTAAAAATAAAAAAATTAGCCAGGCGTGGTGGCAGGCACCTGTAATCACAGCTACTCGGGAGGCTGAGGCAGAAGAAACACCTGAACCCGGGAGATGGAGTTTGCAGTGAACAGAGACTGCACCACTGCACTACAGCCTGGGCAACAGAGCAATGAATGCTCCGTCTCAAAAAAAAAAAAAAAAAAAGAATTAAACTTATTAAAAAGATACTGCTTTTGTAGGGTAGGACAATATAGCTAAATTTTCTAACTTTTGACATCTGAACCACATAAAAGTTTCAAGGACTGATGGTCAAAAAGACCCTGGGCTCAAAAAAACCTATTTTAGACTCACTTCCACAGATATGAAGTTACACGAATTTATGTGTCAAAGCAGAGAGGGCATATTTGTTTTGGCCTTGCCCTCCCTTCTTCCGGTAAGCCCTCTGTATTTCCTCTTTAATTTCCCTATTTACAAGTGTATACTTAAATGTATTACAAAATTCTCCATCAAATACCTGGGACTTTTCATGGTTATAGTGTCAAGTGACCTAAATTAAGATAAATACAATTCTAGTCTAAAATTCGGTAGCCTATCAAATCTGCATTGCATAATGAGACAAATTTCTTTTTTTTTTTCTTTTGAGACGGAGTCTCACTCTGTCGCCAGGCTGGAGTGCAGTGGTGCAGTCTCTGCTCACTGCAACCTCCCACTCCCGGGTTCAAGAGATTCTCCTGCCTCAGCCTCCCAAGTAGCTGGGATTACAGGCACGCACCACCACGCCCAGCTAATTTTTGTATTTTTAGTAGAGACGGGTTTCACCATGTTGGCCAGGATGGTCTCGATCTCCTGACCTCGTGATCCACCCGCCTCGGCCTCCCAAAGTGCTGCGATTACAGGCGTGAGCCACCGCGCCTGGCGAGACAAAATTTTTACGCAGTTTAAAACGCTCAAATTTCAAAAAATAGTTCTTTGAAAAAACATAAGCATTTACATAATCACCAGGGATTCTGATTTTGTTCTACATAGAACTTAAATGTTCGGATAATCTTTATTCTAGTTGCGTAAAATATGTTATGGAAACAGGATGTGGAAATAGAATTGGATATACAAGACTGCTAAAGATTATACAAAACGAGGACGCTGCCTTTCTTTTAAAGTGATAATTTGTTGTGTCTTGTTTTCTGTTGTGAGAACCGGCTAGCCTGAAAACTGATTAAAGAAAACTGTACTTGAAAATTAAGTAAAACTTAGCTACACCTAGCACTAAACACTGCAAAGAACATTGGGATTTACATGGTTTTCTCTTCCTGGACCAGTAGAGGGAGACTAAGGCATCTGGCCTGGTCGTGTAGTGTTTCTATAAAATTGGGGAGGGGGAAGCGGAGGCTGTATTTAAATGTCCTGCTGTCAATCAAAAGACACTTCCTACAATCACAGTCACCATATCTGCTATTACTCGTGAGCGTGCTCTCGCCAAGAGACACCACCAAACGCGGCCCGGGAAACCGGCTTCAACTAAAGGTGACCGCAGGCTTTGCCACAACACCCAAATAAGGACTTTCGGAGCCCAACCCCAACTAGTTTCTTTGTTTAAATGCCTGTGAATCCCTCCCACGCCGGAGTCAAGAGGCTGTGGCGCCGCCCTTTATTAGCCTCACACTTTGATTACAAAACACACGAGTCGGCGGCCTGGCTGCGGAGGCGGCCCGAGCTCTCAAACGTCAAACCCGGAGCGCGGCGGCGGCGGCGGCTGAATCAGAGGGCAGCGTCCGCCGCTGTCGCTGCCGCCGCCAGCCGGCCCGGCAGCGTCCGCCCGGCCGACTCAAGTTCGCCGGCACCGGCGCCCAGGGCACAGCCGCAGGCGGTCCCGGTGTCGCCGGCTTCGAGCGACAACTGCACTCTTTGTAAAGTTTAAGCCGCGGCGCGAGGGCGACGCAGGGGGTCCGGAGAAGCGTTCCCTTCGGGCCCCCGCCGCCCACTCCATCTGCCCCAGTCCCGGCGACCCAGGTGTGTGCGGGGGCCCAGGGCCACGACCCGGGTCAACCTGCCGCCCGCCGGGGGCCCGGCCCCAACTTCCCCGGTACCTTTCAAGTCCCCGAAAGCGAGTACCTCATCTGTTGCTGTTTACTCCGCGGAGCCCCGCCGAGCTGGCTGGCGCGGTCGCCTCTCGGGCCCGCCGCTGCCCCCGTCCCACCGGCCCAGGAAGTTTGATAAAGACGGGAAAGGGGGCGCGACAGGGACCCGCGGCGCGGAGGAGACGCGGGGCCGGGGCGAGCCCATCGCCGCCCGGAAGGAAGGCAGGCGCGTCGGCCAGCCGGGCAGAGCGGCGGGGCGGCCGGCGACTCCGGGCCGGAGCCCCGGGCGCGGTGGGGCGGGGCGGCGGCGGCCCGGGCTGGCGAGGGGCTGCGGGCCGGGCCGGCGCTCAGCCCGACGCCCCCGCCGCGCCCGCCCGGCCGCGTCCCCTCGCCCCAGGCTCCCCCTGCCAACTTCTCCGCCGGCCCTCTTTGTTCGTGTTTGTTGTGGCGACTCTTCGCCCGGGCCGGGCGAGCCCCCCGGCTCCCCTCTGGAGCCCGCCCGGCGAGCCCGGGGCCCCGCGCGCCCCGTTGCCCGGCCGGGGGGCTAGGCGCTGGGACCCCTGAAAGCTGGGCGCGGCGCGGCGGCCCGGCCCGAGGGAGTAGCGGGCGGCTGGCGGCGACGGCGGTTGGTCGGTGGCCGGCGGTGGCGGCTGCGGGGCTGGAGGGGGTTTATTTACCTGCCGTGGAACCAGTCCTTGCAGATATCGCACTCGATCATGAAGCGGTTCACGTCGTACGGCTGCCGGCACACACAGTACACGGGCGGGGGCGGCGGAGGCGCCGAGGCCCGGCCCAGAGCCGCCACCGACACGGCTGCCGCGGCGGCTCCAGCTGCTGCTCCCGCGGCCACCGCCGCCGCCGCTCCGGCCATCTTTAAAAAACACACACACGCTCGCTCGCTGCTCCGCTCGCCGACTGGAGCGAGCGCAGCCGCCAGCCAGCGCCGCCTCCTGCAGCAGCCGCGGCGGCGGCGGCGGCGGCGGCGGCGCTTTAGTGCGCGCGCGCGAGGCCGCGGCGGCTGGCGGAGGGGGAGGAGGGGGCGCGCGCGACGCGCGAGGCCCAGGCCCGGCTGCTTCCGGCGCTCGGCGCGGGGCCGTGCGTCTCGCGCACGTCTCTGGCGCCGGCGCGCGCTCCCCGCTCCTCTCCGCGACGGCCGGGCGGAGGGAGCCGTTGAAGGGCACGCAGGCGGCTGCGGAGGCGGAGGGAGCCGAGGCCCCGTGAGGACACGCGCGGTGGTGGCGGTGGCGGCGGTGGCGGGCGCGCGGCCGCAGCCGGAGGAGGACGGCGGGAGCGTGCGAGGAGCCGGCTCGGTTATTTCGGAGCGAGAGCAGAGGCCGGGGGAAGTTCCTGCGGAGTGCACAAGGGCAGACGAGGCGCCGCGTCCCGAAGAGGGGAAGCGAGCAAGTTTCCTCCTGCCCGGGTCGCCTCGCGACGCTAGGAGAATCGCTCAGCCCTCTGCAGCCGCCCAGCGAGAACCGGAGCTGCGGCCCGGCACCGGCGTGGGTCCCGCCGAGCTGACACGCCGAGCCGGTTGTGCCTTTCCGAGGGGAGGAACGTGCCGTGGAATCCACTCAAACTTTGGAAAACGTCCCACCCGGATTTCCACCGAGCAGCAAGGAAACCAGAGCGTTGATGGAGCCACTGTTAGTTGCGGGAGGGCTGTCCCCAAGAGGAATTCATCACTGTCGTCCGTTGGGAGGGACCAACCTTGAAATGGGGTTGGTGGAGAGAGGGATGGAGAAGAACCGGCGTGCTTATAAATAACAAGACTTAGCTATGAACCCTTCCGATTCCCAAGTGGGGAAGATAGGGGTAAAATTCTAAGCGACTTCTCGCTCGGAAGAGGGATACCACAAAAAGCGGAGCGCAGGGTACTTCGCACATAATGGGCCATCAGTAATTTTTGAATGGATGAAATTGAGAGCCAAATGTAAGGTGATAAACTGAAGAATAAAAACAGCTGACAAATACTGAATAGAAAAGATTGCGTTGGAATCACAGCTATGTGGATTGGAAGTGATGTTAAGGATTAATGAATTGAGTATTTGCAGCTGAATTTCTGCTGGCATTTCTGTCAGTGGGGAAAGCTCTCACAGCTCCCTAGGTAATTTTTGTTAGGGGAGGAAGAAGTGTTGGTCTGTCACCCACCCCCAGGCAAAGAGTCGCTGATCTAATTATCCTTTTCTTTTTTGTTTTTCTTTTTCTTTCTTTCTTTCTTTCTTTCTTTCTTTTTTTGAGACAGAGTTTTGCTCTTGTTGCCCAGGCTGGAGTGCAGTGCTGCGATCTCAGCTCACTGCAACTTCCACCTCCCGGGTTCAAGGGATCCTCCTGCCTCAGCGTCCCAAGTAGCTGGGATTACAGGCACGCGCCACCGCGCCAAGGTCATTTTTGTATTTTTAATAGAGACGGGGTTTCACCATGTTGGCCAGGCTGTTCTTGAACTCCTGACCTCAAGTGATCTGCCCGTCTCGGCCTCCCAAAGTGTTGGGACTACAGTCGTGAGCCACCGCGTCCTGCCTAATCTCCTTTTTATAGCTGAGGAAAGCTAGTAACTTGCCTGAAGTCTCATATATTAGAGCTGTAACCGAAGTTTTTAAATTTCTCAGTTCTGCAACCATTCGTTTTTCTATCACATCACTGTTTGGCACATACATAGCAGGAAAAGGAAAGGCTGGAAATCATAGTTGACCACACACTGAGTAAGCTTGAAACATATTTCTACTGGAGAAAAAAGAAGTTACTGTAATGTTGGCATAGGCATCACATATTGCTGGAGTGGAAAGACCCATGCACTCAGGTCCTGCTTTCTAGAAGCTGTGTGACCTCGGGCCAGTCACTTCATTTCTCCTGAACTAGATCCCTGATGATCTGTTGAAATAAAAATTATGGATAGTAATGCCTTAATTACCTCACAGAGGTTTTATAAAGAGCAAAAAGACGATGTGTTTTTAAATGTACTTTGTAGAAGGTGTGTGTTGTTGAGACAATACAGCAGTGAAGAGAAGGCAGGCAAAGCTATCTTATTGGAGTCTGGCTAAAGAGCACCAAAGCAGCCTGGTGTGGGATGTCCTCTGGGGGCCACCTGGCCTTGCTATGTTAACATGGAGGGACTAGGCAGGGGCGTGAAGAAGGCAGCCAAGCAGAGGAGGAGGCAGCAGCAACAATGAGAGATTTGGATCTGTGTCCCCACCCAAATCTCATGTTGAATTGTAATCCCCAATGTTGGATGGAGGTGGGGACTGGTGGGAGGTGACTGGATCATGGGGGTGGATTTCTCATGAAATGTTTAATACCATCCACTTGGTATTGTCCCTCTGGTAATGAGTGACTTCTCAAGAAATCTGGTCATTGAAAAATATGTGGTACCTCCTCCCTCTCTTGCTCCTGCCCCGGCCATGTGATGCAGTTTGTCTTCAGCCATGATTATAAGTTTCCTGAGGCCTCCCCAGAAGCCAAGCAGATGCCAGCATTATGCTTCCTGTACAGCCTGCCCTCCACGAGCCAATTAAGCTCATTTCCTTTACAAATTACACAGTCTCATATTTCTTTTTCTGTCTTTTTTTTGAGACAGAGTCTGGCTCTGTCGTTCAGGCTGGAGTGCAGTGGTGCGATCTCAGCTCACTGCAACCTCTACCTCCCAGGTTCAAGCAATTCTTGTGCCTCAGCCTCCTGAGTAGCTGGGATTACAGGCACCTACCACCATGCCCGTCTAATTTTTGTAATTGTGGTACAGAGGGGTTTCACCATGTTGCTCAGGCTGGTCTTGAACTCCTGACCTCAGGTGATCCTGCCTCAGCCTCCCAAAGTGCTGGGATTACAGTCGTGTGCCACCGCACTCGGCCTCAGATATTTCTTTTTTTCTTTTCTTTTTTTTTTTTTTTTTTGAGACACAGTCTCACTGTTGCCCAGGCTGGGGTATAGTGGTGCGATCTTGGCTCACTGCAACCTCTGCCTTCCGGGTTCAAGGAATTATTTTGCCTCAGCCTCCCAAGTATCTGGGATTACAGAGGTGCACCACCACACCTGGCAAATTTTTGCATTTTTAGCAGGGACAGGGTTTCACCATGTTGGCCAGGCTGGTCTCAATCTCCTGACCTCAGGTGATCCACCCGCCTCAGCCTCCCAAAGTGTTGGGATTACAGGTGTGAGCCACTACACCTGGCCTAGATATTTCTTTATAGCAACGAAAGAACAAACTGATACAGTTGTGTACAAGAGGACTGATCAAATACAGTCGTGTTGGCCGGGCGTGGTGGCTCATGCCTGTAATCCCAGCACTTTGGGAGGCCCAGGCGGGCGGATCACGAGGTCAGGAGATTGAGACCATCCTGGCCAACACAGTGAAACCCTGTCCCTACTAAAAATACAAAAAATTAGCTGGTTGTGGTGGCATGTGCCTGTATTCCTAGCTACTCGGGAGGCTGAGGCAGGAGAATCACTCAAAACCGGGAGAGGGAGCTTGCAGTGAGCCAAGATCACGCCACTGCACTCCAGCCTGGGCTACAGAGCGAGACTCCGTCTCAAAAAAAAAAAAAAAAAAAATACAGTCCTGTTGCTTAACAGCAGAGGTAAGTCTGAGAAATGCATTGTTAGGCAATTTCATCGTGTGAACACCATAGACTGTACTTACAACCCTGTTTGGTATAGCTAACTACACACCTAGGCTAGATGATGTAGCCCATGCTCCTAGGCTACAGAGCTGTATAGCATGCTACTGTGCTGAATTCCATAGGGATTTATAACACAGTGGTAAGAAATTGTGTTTCTAAATTTCCCAGTAAATTAAAGGGATAGTAAAAATATCACATCATAATCTTATGGGGCACCATCATAATATGCAGTCCATCATTGATGGAAATGTCATTATGCAACACATGATTGGCAATATGTTAAGGAAAATGGGAGCCAGGTTTCTCAATGTTCAGGAAGAGAATTACAAATAAGAAAAGAGGAAACTTTGGTGGTGGACTAGTAATGGAGGTATCAATCTATCACTATTTGTAGAAATAGATATAGGTGTACATGTACATACCCTGTCCACTGAGAAGATCTGGGAGTAGTGACACCGGAAAACAATGAGAACAGCTAGCCCAGGTCTTGGCTTCTAAATACCAATCTCCACTTCATTTTTCTTCTTGGCAGAATAGTTGATTCCAGTACTGGAGAAGAGAAAGTACAGGATGAGCCTGGAGCTTGTAGTATCAGAATATAAGGACATGCTCAAAGAATAATGAGGCATGTCTAAAGGACACCAGCCAAATCGAGGACAAACTGTACTTCAACGTTAAAATAAATTGTGTACTATAACCCATTGAATAATATAGGAAACTATACCTGTGTAAAGAAATACATAAATTGAAAGTTTGATAAGCATTGGAATATTTTCATAGTTTCAAAGTATCTCCCAACAAAATTCTTCCTAATTACAAAGGGAACTAGAGTAACTTCTCAGTGTTAAGAAGCTTGGCAGATACTATCTTAAATGATCAAGTGCCATCAATAATGGGACAAATCAAGATCACGTGCCACCTGATAGGATTTGGTGAGAATACTAGCATCACTTCTGTGCATTTCTGCCCAGTCTATTTAATTAATCTCCAGTTTGGAAATGCGGCTAGTTTTAAAAGTACATGAAGAGATCAGTAAAGAATAAAAACACTCTAAGGCATACAAATCTGTAAGGAAAGGTTCTAGAAATTGTAAACACAAAGATTTGATCTTGGGAAGAAAGGGATTAAGGTTAGAACTCTGGATAATGCCAACATTTTAGTGGCAAGCCCCATACATCGTAATTAAGCTCATGGCTTTGGATTCACAACCTACTCTCTCTGTGACAACTTATTAACACTTGGATTTTAGTTTTCTCATTTTAATGGGAATGGTAAGCATATCTGCTTCACAGGGCTGGGTGCATTAAAGTAACATACTTTGCACAATTCTTAGTATATGATAAGCCATATAGCT